ATCCCATACTTGCATATGGAGGAAAACAAATGAGATGAAATGCTACATGAGATAACTGACGCAAGCTATATTCACAGAGAAACTGATGTGTTAAGAGACAGTGTATGAATGACCGAGGAAGGTGTCACAGATTGTCCAATAAAGGTGAATAGGGTCTAGTCTGTGGGTAGAAATCACAAGGAAGAGAAAAACTAATTATGGGAGGACACAGGCCCCTAAGTCTGGCAAAGAAACAAAATTATACGGCGCAGAAATATAGGCACAAAATACAAAAACCTATGCATTATGGGGGCTCAACTTGAAATATTGACAGACACATTGTAAGCTACTATGAATTCAGACTCCAGACGCAGATACAGGACAATTTTTGAAAAACAACTAATTACAGAACCTACAAGTAAGACAATATACAAGACCTAGTATTAAAAACAAAGAAAATACAGATACTACAGAGAAGAACTAAAACACGACCGCAGAGAAAATTGTATCACCCTAAATTGGGAAAACGAAAACAATGATACCATGCGTCAGAGCCCCAACTCGGTTGGCGGATTATCAGGGGTTGAAGGTCACCTGGGAAACAGCCACAGTTCCCAGAAGGTGAGGTCATAGACACAACAACTGACTCATGAATAATATATTCACTAGTATACTATAAAAGCAACAAGAACAAAATATACTACAGAAAAAATTAGGTCAACAAGAATGAGCCAAGGTGAGACCAGAAACTTAAACATGACATAGGAATAAAGAAAGGAATATATAAGCAAATTCAAAGGGAGGGGAGGAGCAGCCCAGAAACATACTGACAATGAACTATCTAGAATGCTAAAAAAATAAAGCAAAAAGAGACTATGCAAATCAAAAAAGAAAGAGAATCCAAGAAATCCCAAGGATTTTTCCAGGTACATGTATATATAGGACAAAGGCCAACGACAAAGCTACCAAAGTCAGGGAGTGGAGAACGATAAATGGCAGGAGAAATAAGTCATCGAACATACATCCCATAGTTTTCACAGAAGAAATTCTACAGAAATTCCAGAGGAACTGATATTTACAGCGAAGAAGAGAAATTAAAGAATATCACTACTAGAAGAGTGGATGTTTCAAGAAGATAAATAAACTAAAGAATACAAACTCTAGGCTGATGAAATTTTTTCCTTTAGTCTTAAAAAGAGTGTAGGAACAGATTAGTTGACCTCAAACTTATTTACAAATCATTAGACACTGAGTTAAAACAGAGTTGAAACAGCAAATGAAAATTCCATATTCAAAAGGGGAGACACAGACATCAGCGCCAAATTACCGGCCGATCAGCTTTGACGTCAGTAGTGGGGAAATTTTCAACTAATTGTACAGATATATCCGGATCGTGACTTAGAGAAAAGCAATTAACGTTTAAGGTATGGAAAATCTGTTCAATAAATTCAAGAATGTGTTTTGAGGGAAAAGTCTTTAGTAGAGATAATGACGAAAATTATGATGTTATTTACTTAAAGACTTAGTAAAGCATTTGACAGAGTAATGCACCAGAGGCTTCTGAGAAAATCACATAGCCTAAGGTATCGAGGGAAAGTTTAAATTGATAAAACCATGGCTTCATTGACAGAACGCAGAGGGCCGGGCGTAGATGGTGTTAATCTGATAAATAACCAGTGGGTTCCCTTTAGGTCAGTAATTCATATAAACGATTTAGATATCGGGATTGTGCAGGACATAAGTGTTTATGACGATACCAAAATAAAGTAACGACCCAGGCAGGATGCAAATGCATTTATAGAGGATCTAAAGAACCGTAGGTGGTCTGAAAACGGCAAATGAAATTCAATACCAGCAAGGCAGCGATTTAATATTGGAAGAATAACATTTATAATGTATACAGCCTTAACAACATCAACCTAGAGAAGCCGGATTTGTGAAAGAGACCTAGGGTAATTGTAAGCCCGGACCAAGGCCTAGAAAACAGCAAGCGTTAATGTTCAAATAAAGCAAACAGAGTATTGGCTTTACATCTAGAAGTGTAAGTAACAAGAGAGCAGAGGCCTTATCAAACTATATCTTTACACTAAGAAGCCAACTCGACACGCGTTCAGCTCCAGCTCATTATAGAACAACGGATACAATCACCTAGAGTCAGCAGCTAAGAGACAAAAAATGCATTCTGGACTTTCTTCCATAACAGGATAGTTAAAAGAAATGAATCAATTCCAGAAAGACAGAGATGCAAGGAGACATGATAGAAGTTAACTGCAAGAAGAACCAATACAAGGACATATAAGAGATAAGTTCTTATACACTATTATGATAGACCCTGAGCAACTGATTCAAGAGATAAGTTTAGGTTTAGAGGAAAGAAAAGAAACTGTCTCACAAATAGGGTGATTGATAACAAGCTAGCAACTTTAGCAAAAGGGAAACTTGAAAGTTTCAAAAGGAGGCTAGATAGATTCATGATGATAGAGAGGGTCAGTAACTTCCACAGAGTTGCCATGCACAGGCCAACCGCCTATTGCAGACACCTTATTTCAATGTTCTCATGATACGCCATTAATAAGCAGCCTGGTCCCATCTGTAACCAACATTTCGTTGTTCTTCCGATAAGACCTATCCATGATGTGTATTTTTAACCATATGCTTTATATGAATACCAAATTAACCAATATCGTTATGGTTTATCCTCTTCCCTATTGATTCCAATCAATGAAACCCAACTCAATGCTCGTAGTCCACTCTGCATGCTACCCAACCAGGCCACATGTATGTTAACCAGAGGAGTCTGGTGGCAGCGACCTTAAAAGTAAGATTAGAGCCAAGTATGTACCCTTAGTATAACGCACCCTTAAGAATCTGGCAGCATATAAGCAAGCAACCGGCTCCTGAATGTACCTGAACACGCATCCAGCATTGGACTAAGTTCAGTCTTGGAAAGAGATCATATTTGAACCGTCACAACACTTTCTGGCAGATTGATCCAAGAGTTACAACCTTAACTCAGAAAAAAGAATTTTGTTGCTGGATTTTGTGGTTCTTAAATTTGGAGCTGTGACCCCCAGAGCCGAGCATCCGCCAGATCCAAGTAAGGACACTCTGACTGGAGTAGTGCTCTTGAGATGCTTATACACTTCTATTATCACCTCGCCAGTCTGTAGTATAAGCTCCCTCGGAGTTCAGGCGCTCCAACTCTGGTAAGAAGCTGAGGTGCCGAAGCGCAAGACATCGTTGAACGAAGTTCATGTTTTGCACGCTCAACTTCGAGAACAAATGATTTAGAAATCTCGGAGTCGGTTGGAGGCCAGTGCCTTCAAGTGGTTAATCGCACCGGACTCCAACACTTGTTCATTCCTCCGCAGAGAAGAAATTTTGTTTTATTTTTCTTTATTTCTATTTCACATTAGGTGATGAAAGTATTTTCCGACAACTTATAATTTGATGTGCGGATCGTATCACGTTGCGTCTTGCAAAAGTGCGAAGAGGATAGGTAAAGTAGTACCTTGCTTGGATAGATAGCTGCCCACACTTACCACTCGATTCTCATCATCAGGTGACTGATTTGTCTGCAAAATTGGAGCCAAATACGTAAATCGTTGTTAGCATTATCGGGTCAAATACCCCACTTTGTTTTCATTTAACCTAAGCTTAGTAGTACAATATAAAAACGAGTTTATTGTGCAGGAGCATCATGGTCAACCATATTTATCATATATATATTTTTTTTATCTTCACCACCGATACCACAGTTGCTGGGCGGTTTGTCACAATACGCATTAAACACAGTTGGCAAGGGCATGTATGGAATTTATAAGTTGAAGTAGGTTGCCATACGTCCGTATTTTTCCGGACATGTCCCCATTTAGGCCTGGAAAATCTTCATCCAGGAATTTTTAAAATTCTTCAAAAGTCCGAAATTTCAGCTTCCATCATTTTCTTCCACGGAAAAAAAAACATGAAACTGTAATGACGAGAGAGAGAGAGGAGAGAGAGAGGTGGAAACCGTAGAGATTCTTGTAGTGAATTCAGTTTTCGCCAGGTTGTAAGTCACGTACGCTTTATGCAGGTTGGCTACAACTTAGCTGTCAAATATTTGATTGATAGGGTAGAAGTTGATGATGGGAAGTGCTTTGACCAAGTTAGTAACCCGGAAGCAGTTTGTGAAAAATTACATGATGATAAGAATTTAGTAATCTGCCAACACATAAAAAGTGGACCAAACATTTGAAAATCAAAGAACTTTGAATGTCACTCAGAATTGCAATACCTTTTTTCTTGCTATATCATCTCACACCAAATGGAAGAAAGGTTTTTCACTGACGCAAAGTCACGACAAAAGGAAAGGAACAAATTGAGTAAGGAAACAATGAAAGGCATTCTGGCTAAGTACAGTACAACTCTGAGAAACATCTTGCATTGACTTTCTACTCTAAAGAGCAATCATCCAATACTGGAAAAAGATCCGATGTACAGAAAAAGTATGTATAGGCACATAAAGTCACACACACAGTAAAATAAGACTGCAGCTAAAGAAGATATTCAGCCCAAGAAGTAATTTTTTAAGATTTTACACCAAGTATATTGCATATTAGCTTACATTAAAACACACGTAAATACAGTACACTGAAACTGGTGGGATGAAGTATATATATATATATATATATATATATATATATATATATATATATATATATATATATATATATATATCTATATAAATATAAAATTAATTGTCATGGCTGTTTCAAGGTTATATAGCCAAGTAAAGGTATTCAGAAAATGTCCTTTTTTTAATGTTCAGATATGGCAACCCTAAGTTAGCGTATTTGTCACCTGCTATCTACACATGCAACAAGTTGTCGATATAATAACAGTGTATGATACCTATGTATAATATAACATTCGGTATGCTTTACTGTAGCCAAGGGTTGCCTACAGCTACATAAAGCTGACCACCGTTAAGTTCCACTGTGATTTTAGTCATGATGATAAAACAAAGTTTTTAACGTTACCTTATCCAAGTTTTCAGTTGTAAAGTTAACCTATTTTGGCTTATAATCCGCAACATTGTATGCTTTGGCTTAGTTGTCACTATACTGCAGCAGTTCCTCAACCCTTTCTTGATAAGTACCCACGGTACACTGGACTGGACTCGGGAGTAACCGTCTCTGGGCTAGTGATAGTGGCTACCAGGGTTGCCAGATGTACGACAAGCTGCACGGCCAAATTCACGCCATCTTACGGCCAAAATTTGGCCAAAAAATTTTGGATGGGAAGCACAAGGCTATTTTTGCAATCCACACAAAATAAAAGTATCCCCTACAATATCCACTTAAAATGTCGTAATAAAACCAAATTTTCACTTAGAATTGAGAGCCCAATAATTACATAAACATAATATCTACAGTATAATCTACAGTGAATCTTCACTGTAACAGTGAAGATTCACCTTAATCTGAAATGGTGGTGGAGCATGATAATGGTGGAGAACTTGATAACACTAGTTGGCGTAAGCAAAAACGTCTAGTTCGTCATCGTCCCCTGGTTTGTTATGTTTTCTACCACTGTCGTAGTACCGTTTTCTTTTACTAGTGAACATTTTGAAAACTAGCACTCGGAATTTCAGAAAGTAACTCGGATGGCTTTGTAAGCTCTGAAGCTTAACCCAAATGCTGGACACGTTCAGCCTGAACAACTCAAATATGAGAACTAACAACTAAGGTAGTAACTAGAAAGATCAGTCAGCTCAGTAGGTCACGTAAACATGTGAAGAGGTGAGGTCACTGATTAGGTGAGGTCACCTAATAGGTGAGGAATTAATACGTATTTTACAAAATTCAGCCAAAATACGGTCAAATATTTTGGCCGTGATCATCGATTTTTTCACGGCCAGGCGAATTTTTTTACGGCCTAATTAGAGAACTGTGGCCGTGGAAACGGCCATCTGGCACCCCTGGTGGCTACTACACTCTACAGATGCATTAACACTGAGTTTCCAGTACTTAATTACCGTTACCTTATTCCTGTATTAATATTTCACTCGTTCTCAATAAATCTTATATATTGTGTAGAAATGATATTCAAAATATTAATATTGTATGCACGAAAAATATAAATTAAAAGAATGACGGTACCTGTATTACAAATCAAAAGTTAAGTAAAATTGGGAACAATAATATTTCTATGGATTGATGCCAGATAGTCTCTTGAGAAATAACTACAAATTTAAGTCACCAGCATATTTCAATATACATACAATAATTACTCAAGATGACAGTACGACGAAGTTATTGTAGTGCACCGACTGTGACAGATGTGAATGTAGCTAGTTATGATAGAAATTCAATGGGAAAATAGCGTATGTCCACCCTTTTTATTGATTTACTCTAAGGCGAAGGTCATTTATATAACTTAGATGAGTGTGTAGCGGAATTCTCCCCTACAAACGCTGTTTGTCGCTGAGTAGCCGACCCCACCAATTCCCCAGTGTATGCCTCGTGGTCTGGGTCAACCAGCGCCGCCATACATCACGGAGCGGGGGTCAACTACTAAGCCACGCCTACCCCCGCTATTTAAGATCTGACCTCGTGGTGATCTCTCTTTCTACCTACACCAACCAGCCAGCAACACCTCCTCCTCCGCCGCTGCCTGGCGGCCCTCGCTCCTCCTCCACCTGCCTGGCGGTCCTCTCTCCCACTGGCGAGCATGGCGACCCACAAGCTGTCCTTCTCTGAGCACCCTCACCAACCAGCTCTCTCTACATCACGCTTGTAACCATGCTGCCTTCCCAGCACCAAGCTGCATTGTACATCCAATACAACATGTATATAGAGAGCACATTGTGAGTTTCCTTTCTCCATCCCATCCTCAGTGTGAACCAAATATCCTGAACCCCACAAGTGTGTCCTTAAATAATCAGAAAACAACTGAATTATATAATCTGGGGGTTCACTATGAATGTATTTTATTGTTTTATATATTGTTTTGTAAGTTCAGTTGATAAATGTATGAAAATTCTGATGCGCAACAGTATAAGGGATAATGTATATATAGAGAATACGAATATATATGTAAAACTGATTATGTGCAACTAAGAATCTAATTTAATGGTCATTACCGAAGAGACAAAGTATATAATAAGGGATATTTGCCTTTAACAAAAATAACAAACCATTTCACCTAGCGGCAAAGGCCACGGAGGGAGGGAGTGAAAAGTTTGTGTAGGACAAGTGAACTTTTTTACTTTTATCCTCTTCGCCACTGATCGGCTTGTTAGCCGCTTGGGATATCGGTCACGACTCTTTTCTTTTATATTCTTCACCAAAAGATCGGCTCGCTAGCCGCCTTGGCGATCGGTCACGTCTCTGTCACACACTGTTGGCAAATACTGGGCATGCACCGGCTCCTGAGTGTACCTGAACCTGCTCCAGTGTTGGTCAAGTCTTCTCTTGAAAGAGCTCACACTCGGTGCCGTCACAACACTCTCTGGTAGATTGTTCCAAGAGTTTACAACCCTCACTCCGAAAAAGTTTGCCCTCACGGTTTTCTGGACTTGCGGCTTCTTCAATCTTGAGCTGTGACCCCTTGTGGGGCGAGCTTCCGCCAGCTCCAAGTAAGGACACTCAACTGAGTAGTGCCCCCTGAGATGCTTATACACCTCAACTAGGTCCCCTTGCCCGTCTGTAGTGTAAGCTAGGCAAGTTCAGGCGCTCCAATCTCTCAGGGTAGCTGAGGTGCCGAAGTGCAGGCACCAGTCTGGTGGCCCTCCTTTTTTCAACCAACTGACAGTCCCTAGCATATCTCGGGGACCAGATGGGGTGACAGTACTCCAGATGGGGAAGCACTTCACTCCTGAAGATCGTCACGAGGGACGGACCGTCTAGATATCTGAACGACCTTCTTATAAGACCCAATAATTTATTTGCCTGATTTACCTTCTTCTCACAATGGCCCGAGAACTCCAGCTCATTGTCAACATACACACCTAGGTCCTTCTCACACACAGTCTCAACTAGTGCAGTTTCTTCATCCCGTTGGGACATATGATACGCCTCCTTACCGTTGGTACGCCCCAGGTGCATCCTCTTACACTTCGTGACATTGAATCTCAGCAGCCATTTCTTCGACCATTCCTGGAGCCCACAGAGGTCCTTCTGCATCTCTTCACAGTCCGCTTGGTTCTTAATTGCCCGAAATAACTTACCATCATCGGCAAACATTTGTATGGAGGAGTGTACAACGTCAGGCACGTGCAGTGGCGTAGCTAGAGTGTGTGCTGCCCGGGGCGGCCCTTGAGTTTGCCCCCCCTCGTGCCCCCACAAAAAATACATATTGCACAGTGACTCACTCGTCTTGTCACGATGGAGACTTGTGCAGAACTGAAGTGAATTGCTTGTAACTGGTGGATTGGTCGGCTGTACATGAACTAATATGACCCGAGACTGCATGGTTTTGCAGCTACTGGAGACGTTAATCCTTCCCTTTGTATCGGCGGCAAGTTAATCCTCGTCGTGTCTGACCTAACACCTGACCCACACCTTATGAGCTCACTGGCGTACTTGTTTGAAGTTGTTTCCTTAATCCTCAACAGGTTACAGGTTGTGTGTGTGGCGGGGGGGGGCGCGCATAGCAAGGGTGTAGCTCATGACGTGGCCGTGACGATGTGGGTCAGGTGTTAGGTCAGACACGACAAGGATTAACTTGCCGCCGATACAAAGGGATGGATTAACGTCTCCAGTAGCTGCAGATATGGGTGATGAGCAGACCCAAAAGTGCCGCCCCCCCAAAAGTGCCGCCCGGGGCGGACCGCCCCCCCCTAGCTACGCTAGTGGGCATGTCATTTATGAAACAAACAAACAACAGCGGGCCCAATACACTGCCATGTGGTACCCCACTTGTTACAGGTACAGATGACGATTTCGTGCCATTAATCACCACACACTGCTTGCGGTCATTTAGAAAGTCTTCTATCCATACTAGGACATTTCTCCGAATTCCGTACCCTTCCAGTTTGATTTTCAGCCTTTCGTGGGGTACACTGTCGAAAGCCTTGACAAAATCTAGGTAAATCTTGTCGATATTACCAACCCGTTCCAGAATATGGGTCGAAATATCCAATACCGTGAGCAATTGTGTTAAGCAGGAGCGCCCCGGCATAAAACCGTGTTGGCAATCCTTTGCAAGGTTGTTTCGTAGTAGATGTTCCATTCTGGCATCTCTGATAATACTCTCAAGTACTTTACATATTATGCTGGTCAGGCTCACCGGTCTATAGTTGTTCGTGGAGTGACGATCGCCCTTCTTGAAGATAGGACTCACATAAGCCACTTTCCATTCACTGGGGACCTTTAGTTCATCCAGGCATTTACAAAACAGGATCTTCAGGGCTCGGCAAGCTCGTTGCACAACTCTCTTAGCACTCTAGGATGCACCATGTCAGGGCCTGGACTCTTATGGACCTTTAGCTTTGACAATTTATTTCTAATACCCTCTTCTGTAAATACAATGTGGGTCAGTGCTGTGTCGAACCGTCTGTCCTCAAATGCAGGAAGGTTAATCGCATCCTCTCTTGTGAACGCCGAGGAAAAGAAGCTGTTCAGTGCCTCAGCTTTATCCTGGTCAGAATCTGCGTAACTACCATCTTCAAACCTCAGGTCTGATACTCCAACTCGCGTTTTCAATTTCGACTTTGCATAGCGGTAAAACGCCTTTGGGTTTGACTTGACCTCTCTTGCAACCAGCCTCTGGAACTCCTTTTCAGACCTTCTACACTCTATCTTTGCTTGGTTTCTGGCTCTTGCATACATCCTTCTGTCCTGCTCATCGTTTGACCCAACCCACGTCTTGAATTTCTTGGTTTTCTTCTTAACTTTGTCGACCGCCTTTGTGGTTCATGTGTAGTGATCCCCTCGTATTCTTAGAAGCACTGGGTTTGGTCTTGGGTATATATTTATCGATCAAATGGGTTGTAGGGTTTCGTGATATTATGTTGTCTAGCACTCAGGATGGATGGAAACTCTAAGGTGGTGGTTTTCTTATATAATATAAGTTATATGGTAGACAGTCTGGTGCTGGAGATGCCGTGTGGTGAGGAGCTGCTCAGTAGACACGTTCGGTGAGTAGCGTGTTGAAGGAGGTAGATGTGCAGGAGCTTTGTTAGAGAAGATGTTGCCTGTTGCTGGCCTCCAGGTTGAATGAGAACGGGACAGCGAGGAGCTTGCTTGGAGGAGGTGTTGCGTGTTCAGGAACCAAGAGCAGAATGAATCTTAATGGAGAGACAGAGCTTATATACACAGCAGCTGTGGGAACTCGCCGGTTTCTCGACTCCGTTGCTAGGGAAGACGGTAGCAGCTGGTGGCTGGTTGTTAGGATACTGTGGCATCTGGTGACGCCCCCCCCCTGGGCCGCTCGTTTGGTTGCTAGGGAAGACGTAGCAGGTGGAATGCGGCTACCCTGTTGTAGGGGAGACGTCCACTACAGGGTCATTTTACTAGTTATGATATTCAGCGTAGTGTCTGCGTTCTTGTACCTTAATAAGTCAGGCCAGTTGATACCCCTCATCTCTTCCCTCATCCCATTGTAATTTCCCTTGTAATATTTGCACCTTGGCCTGGCCTTATCTTGAACTAGGTAACAGTTAAATCTGAATGACAACACTGTATGGTGACTGGTGCCAACTGGGGCAAGGTGTTCCAGTTTGGCCACCATACCCTCCTCGTTTGTTATGATGAGGTCAAGTGGCTTGGGTGTTTGCTCCCCTCTGTAATGTGTCGGGTCTTTCACATGTTGGAACAGAAAATTATCTCTCAGTAGTTGACCCCCGCTCCGTGATGTCTAGTGGCGCTGGTTGACCTAGACCACGAGGCACACACAGTGGAATTCGTGGGGTCGGCTACTCAACGACAAACAGCGTTTGTAGGGGAGAAATCCACTACAATACTCCCTCCTTCCCCCCAGGCGTGTAGGAGACTTGTTGTCTGCAGGGTTGCATGGCACATGTGAGGCAGAACGGGCGGTGCATGGCTCATGTTGGACATAACGGCAGGGCGTGGACGAGCCGGCCGCTAGAGGAGACAACTGTCTAGATACACAATATCTGTGGGAGAAGAGAGGGAGGAAGAGGGTGTGTGGAGGCGATGAATGTTGTGCTTCCCTCACGGCAGGTACAGAGTCGTCAGATGCGCCTGCTGGGGTGTGTGGGCCTGGGTCAGGAGCAGGTGCTGCGTCAGCAGAAGCGGATGGTGCAGGACAGTAGCAGGGAGGACATGAGGGAGAAAAGAGGGGTGTGTGGGTCCGCACTCAGGCGCATGGGCAGCGACGGGAGTAGGGGCTGCATTGGGAGCGGCAGGGGGTACTGCTGGGCCGGGGGCGGCGTCTGAGGCAGGACGGGTGTGCTGGGGTCGGTAAGACGTGGTGCTTGGGGCAGGAATAGGAGCGGCTGTCTGCTTAGAGTAGCAGAGCTGCTCTAGGGTGTCTAACCTGTGGTGTAGAGACAGTAGCTGTAGAGCCGATGAGAGCTGCCTCTGGGTGGATAAGCCAGTCTTCCATGTTGCTTGAAGACTGGGAGAGTGATGGGTTTCTTCTCCATCCTGTGTGAGTGCGAATCTCCGGGGGTCACCACTTGTGGGGTATTGGATGTTTGTTTGGGTTCACACTCAGGATGGGATGGAGAAAGGAAACTCACAATGTGCTCTCTGTATACATATTGTATTGGATGTACAATGCAGCTTGGTGCTGGGAAGTGGCAGCGTGGTTACAAGCGTGATGTAGAGAGAGCTGGTTGGTGAGGGTGCTCAGAGGAGGACAGCTTGTGGGTCGCCATGCTCGCTGGCAGGAGCGAGGACCGCCAGGCAGGCGGAGAAGGAGGTGTTGCTGGCTGGTTGGTGTATACAAAAAAGAGACAGGTTACCACGAGGTCAGGTCTTAAATAGCGGGGGTTGGCGTGGCTTAGTATTTGACCTCCGTGATGTATGGCGGCGCTGGTTGACCCAGACCACGAGGCACACACTGTAAAATTCGCGGGGTCGCCTACTCAGCGCAAACAGCGTTTGTATGGGAGAAATCCACTACACTACCACTCTATCATCCATGAATCTATCTAGCCTCATTTTAAAACTCTTTCAAAGGTTTGTTTGGTGTTCTTTAGTATTTTATCCCACATTATAACATTTCAATGTAGAACATCGACAGTTTAAAGGTTATATTTTTTTGCTATTAATTTCTTAAAAAAAAGAAACAATTTTTGAAAATAGAACCCTTGGTGGAAACCTTAAGGAACGTTTACTGCCTCTCACACAGGGTGACTATCTTGTTTATGTACACACGACACAAACCACTCTACATGGTATAGTATTATTATAGTATAGAATTTAGTACTTTATCATTTCGCCACGTATCATCTTACTGTACTAGCTGTTCTGTCTGGCGGATAGTCTGTTCTTTGTTATAATTTTAATTGTCCAGTATTAGTTACTATTATAGTATACAGTACTATGCCATGTTTTGGTTTATGACACCTACTCCTTTTGGTACAGTGGTATAGTATATTATAGTACCTGGTTAATATTGACCACTGACCCGCAGAAGAATTATTTGGGAAAATTTATAGAAAAGCATCGTTCTTTCTTTGGATATTAAACATATGTTTTCCTATAGTATTTTATGAGTTTCGAACGAATTTGACATTCATTTTTGCCGGAAATCACTAGTGTTTGAGATACTGTACACCCCTCCACCCAACAACCTTAACGGAAAAAGTTGGAAAATTGTTTTGGTAAATTTGCATTGTCACACCGTTCTCTGTTAGAAAGTCAAAAATATATTTTTCTAGTGTATTTGTGTGTGTTTAGACCGAATATGACCTTTATTTTAGGTGGAAATTAGCTGGGGGTTTTTTATCGAATTTTTTTCGTTGGACGTTTTCCGAAAAAAAATCATGGCAAAATACACCAAAAAATACTAGAAAAACAAAAACCAAACCTAACCTAACCTAACCTAACTGACTCTCACCATATGATGGAATCACCTATTTCTTACCTTATTGGCCTGGTTCTTGTTTGTCGTTGGATTCTGAAATTCTTACACAACTCCACATATGTTAGTCTTTGCGATATTTACATTCAGTCTTGCTCTTAGTACTTTACTGAGGTTGGAAGAACACCATGCGATCGAAAAACTGCTATAGTGTCTTCGTTTTTTTCCCAAAAACTCGCAATCAGCTTCATATACAGTAATTTCAGTGACACCCATCGCAGACTTCCATGGTTGGAACTGAGCTTGAATTTCAAAATATGAGAGACCCAAAATAAAACTCGGATTTGATTGGGCCAAATATACCGCGAATTAAACCCAAAATCATTTTAATTGGTTGCAAAAACAAAAACGCTTTTGATTGGCCGCGTGACGTGTACGGAAACGCATGCGCGTGATGATTTATGAAGGAGACGCAGGAGACACGCAGTGTTAGAGGTGAGGCAGGCGATAATAGAGGAAGATTAATAGAAGAAAATAGTGAAAATTTTGTATATGCTATCTCCGTTGTTATACATTTCCGCCGGTAATGTAATAGATGAAAATAATCTTATAATTAGACGTCTTATTCGAATATGATAATAGATTAATGGTAGGAGTGAACGGTGTGTAAACGCAATAATACCATTGTTTTTGGTAAAGGTGTAGATAACGGCTACCACCAGAAGGAATTGTCCAAATTTATTGAAATATATTCTACCCACTAATATCATGATATTAAATACAAAAATGGAAGCGACAATGCATAGAACCTAATAGAACTTGACCTAACATACCCATAGGTGGGGTATGTTAGGTCAGGTTCTATGCATTATCGTGTAAATTCATGTGTTAAACAACTTAGGGCGCGTCGTATCTTCTTGGGCTTGGGGTGGCTTGGTCCAGGTAATTCAAGGTTTTTCTGGGGTGGTGGGGGTCCAGCGGAAGCCATTGTTGAAAAGATTAGTGGGTACAAGAGAGAACGATATACGCATAGACTGAGAACAATGAGACTGGCCCGGCTAGGTCAGCGACATCTTCCCTCCGGTGGCTGGGCACTTGTCATATTACATTAGACCAATCACAGTTAGCGGGGGAGGGAGGTAAGGATGCGTGGCCCAATCACAGTCTGATACATCATATGACGTCAGCGATAACGCAACAGTGACATACTGCACACTCTCCCCGCGCCGCTTCCCTTGTATGGTCAAGAATGTACCGCATAACTAATAATTGGCGCGCCTGGACCTCTCACGCCGCTTGCCACATAAATGATAGAATGAACTGCGTAACTTAAAATTGTCATTCTGGCAAGGTGCCGCGTAAATGACCAAATGCATAAACAAAATCCGTGTAAATCCAGACTATACTGGAAGCATTGCAACAATATAATTGCAATTATGTTGATAGTCAACCTTGAGTTATGCTTAGGGCTTGCTTATGGTGCGCACCCCCTATTTACGGAAATTTCAGTAATATCCATGAGCATTGCTCAAGCCTTGAGGATTCAATACACTTCTTGAATGCAAAACGTGGGCAATCCCCACAAGGAGATCTCAAGCTACATGATCCTGAGTATGGCCCTATGACGCCACACAATGAATGAGTTGCTACAGCATCATGTGTGATCCCTCATAACATCATCTATGAGGTAATTAAAATATCACACTAGGTCCCCCATAACACCATCTGTGAGGGAAATATTACACCATATCAGGTCCTTCATAACACCATCTGTGAGGGAATTACTACACCACATCAGGCCCTTCATAACACCATCAGTTAGGGAATTACTACACTGTTTATTGTTCAACACCTCAGCTTGTGTGGCCTACGTGACCTCCAATGTAAACATTAATTTTTATGTTCACTGTATATTCCGTTTCCTTTCTTTTATGACCCCCCCCCCCCCAATGTCACTGTATGTAATAAGTCATTTCTGTCAATTGTATTTTCAGGCTACGGGCTGCTGAACTTTTTAATAAACTGTTTATTATTATTATTATTATTATTATTATTATTATTGTTGTTGTTTTTGTTTTTGTTAAGTCCAGAAAACTATGAGGGCAAACATTTTTGGAGAATTTAATTTCTTGGAACAATCTGTCAGAGAGTGTTGTGACGGTACGGAGTGTGAGCTCTTTCAAGACCAGACTTGACCAACACTGGAGCAGGTTCAGGTATATTCAGGAGCCGGTGCATGCCCAGTACTTGCTAACAGTACGTAACAGAGACGTGACCGATCACCCAAGCGGCTAACGAGCCGACCAGTGGCGAAGAGGATAAAAGTAAAAATAAAAGTATTACACTGAATCAGGCTTTAATGAAAGAGTAAACAGCCTATTCAGGGGACTGGAAAGGTCGCCTATGTGACAAGATTCATTTAATTCGCATACATTTTTGTTACAGAGTAAAATAAGGTAGAGGCTGACAGAGTAAAATGGCACAATATAAAGGAGCAGCCAGTGAGGCAGGTCGAGCAATGCAGATTAAAAAGCGAAGAGAACGGGAGCAGGAGGAAATGGAGCAAAAGAAAAGGAAATTAGAGGAATCATTAAAGATAAACAAGATTGAGAACAAATTTGCTGTTCATTATGATGCCGTAGAACAGCAACTTAAGGTATGTACAACCTATAGGACTACAGTACCCTGTACTTTAGTTTTCTGTACTGTACACTATGCTGTACTGTACTGTAGTTTGAGCCTTATATTTTTCAATGTTAAGGACTATACAGTTTTGAATATTGCTGTAACTATTGAGCAGTATCCTAAATACTCAGTTTATTACTGAATACATTAATTTGTATGATAGGACTTAGTGTCATTTTAAATGATTTTCCAAGTACAGTACAATATTATAGATTGCATCATATATAAATACAGTATTTTTTTCACAGTGCTGTACTGTACATACAGGGTACTTATGTATACTGATGAATTGCATTTTAATATTTCTTTTTGTTACAACATAGTTTATGATATGAAGAATTTTTTTTTTTTAAATATTCTTGTATTCTTGTCCTGAGTGTTATATGCATGCTTCTGCTTTGCAGAGTTCTACAATTGGCTTGGTTACTCTTAATGAAATGAAAGCCAAACAAGAAGATGTTGTGAAAGAGAGAGAGAAAGAACTAGCAAGAAAAAAGAAAGAACAAGAAAAGTTACTGAGGAAAGAAATTGAGGCCAAACAAGCCAAGAAAAAGGAACAAAGAGAGAAGGTTAGTTCATTCACTGTATGTTTTAAGCAGTGTTGTACTCGTCAACGAAAAAAATGTCGCCACCAGCTTCAGCGTAAACGGCTGAGAAATTTGATGCCATCAGCGTTGGCGTAAACATTTTCATAAATTGACGCCGTTAGCGTCAGCGTCAACACCTAGCGTCAAAGAGTTTTCAGTGACGTACAAATGCAGCCCCAAAACGCGTATTCTCCTGTGTATGGGAGTAACATATGCAAAATAAAAAAAATATTCATTAATTTTTAATTATTTATTATGATTTATTTTATATCATTTTAATTATTCATTTGTTCCCCCGCAAGAATACAAGCATCTCAAAATACTTGTAGAAAGCTGCGCGGGCGGGGGGCGCAGCATAATTTTTCCCGGTCATCTTTATAACAAGATAATTAAAAATTTAACTTGGAAAAATAAAAAATGTTAGAAGTTGACGAACAAATTGACGCTTGACACTCCGCTCGGGTGAAAAGTTGACTGCGTCACCTGTAGCGTCACCTGCCCAAAAAATTGATGGCGTCAGTGATAACAAAAAGTTGTGGCCATCCATTGACGGCGTTAAATTAACGGCGTCAACGTACAACACTGGTTTTATGTAATGTATAACATACAGTACATGAAAATTGTTGAATGAAGATTATGCAAAGAATTAGAAATAATAAGAAGATGTGGAGGCAAGATTAGTTTTGGGCAGAGAGAAGACCAGAATTTTGAGAGAATGGACGATGAATGACTAGAAAGAAGAAAGTAGAATTCAGAGGTGGATGGGAGGAGGGACAGGGTAAGACCAGAAAGCAGATGGAAGGATGGAGTGAAGGATTCCTAGAAGTGAGGAGGATGGGAAGAAGTAGCATGTATGGATGTCCAGAGATCATGAATTTTGGAGTAGAAGGATATGTTGTTGATTGTTGATGCTGGCCTGCATACTGCTAAGTTTGATAGATACTTGGGGGGGGGGGGGGCCTGCTTCTGGAAGGGAATTACAGTACCAAAGCAGAATGTCAATCATTCCCACCTCCCCATCATACACTTTGGCTCAAGAATGAGGTGATCAGGGCCCAGATTCACTAAACTGACCATAACTTTGATCGTATCTTTCCCCTTGTCTCGAGAGGCTACAGTGACCGTATGATATTGGTAACAGGAAATTCACTAAAGGCTCGTACAGTGATGAAAATTACGTTTAATTCAGTAAGCTACCACCAGATGGAGTTGGGGTGCATTTGTATTGCTTTCTCGCTAAACCAATCACTGTGCCCGGAACAAGCACTGTGGAGGAATATTATTCAATCACACGTTACCCATGCCAGCACACGATGCATAAAATCACACATGATAAGAACAATGGAGGGACAAAAGTTTAAAAGAAAAGGCAGCGGAATTCCACTAATGAAATTTTTGTTAATAATTATACAGTAATAATATTAATGAAAATAATAATAATTAATATTATTATTATTATTATTATTATTATTATTATTATTATTATTATTATTATTATTATGGAACAAATGCACTTTATAATTCTTGACTCAGTTGATTGTCTTAAGCTAGTAACCTCATCAAATACACTCCGGAAACTACCACTTGCAAAAACCCTCAAAGCTATTAACACAGACGCATCTAGCCAGAGTATATTCCTACGTAGCAGTAGGTGGTCATCAATTTGTAGTGGTTCCAAAGGATCCGTAAACACCCTTTTTCTCCGGAGTGCACAGTCATGAGCTAAAGCAATCATTAGTTACATCTTCACAGCTTCACTCTCACTAGTGATCCTTGAAGTACTTTATGTCTGGCAGCTCTGTGTGTCTTGGTATGGGATGCATAGTATAGTAGAAAATATTGGAGTTATTCCCACCTTGTGGATGCTTATGGGTGCTCAGTGGTGACCGTAAATCATGAGTGAATCTGCCCCCAGGTGTAACAATTGTCCAATAGAGACAGAAGGCCTTATACGAGTACTAGCCTTCAATGACCAATCAACACACTTACCATCTAAAGTTCCGGCTCTGTTATCTTGATTCATTTCCTGGTTGACAATTCAAGAGGACCATCACAGCACACTGACTACCCTGCTCTTTTTTTCTACAAAAGCTAAGTGTCATCCTCTTTAGACACTTCAGGTATCTGTTTGCTAGAGCAAATACAGTTGTATGTGTCATCATAAAAAGTGATATGAATATCAGTTCTGACATATTGAAAGTTTGTTGGCATATGTTACCAACCATATTAAATCTAAGAAAGTGATTAATACCAATTTCTTACTAATGCAGTTGGAAGGGGAGTGAAAGGATTTATTTAATCTCCAGCATGTCAATATCTAGCCACATACCAGTTGTAGACCAAAGGTTTTGTGATTATTATTACAGTACATGCAAAATCTGTAATCTATTAATGTATACTATAGTTCTCTTCACAAACATTTTTGGTAAACTTAAATTTACATTGTTTGTGTTCTGCTTTTAACAGCTGTGATTTTTTCTCATATAGCTCCAAATTAAAAATATTTTTCAATACAAAAAGGATATACAGCTCCTCCCCGACTTATGACGGGGTTAGGGACCCAAATCCAGGTCGGAAGTTGAAAATGCTTAAATAATACATAGAAAATCTAAAATGAGTGTCTCTTTTTCTTCTCAGCACCACAAACCTCTCACTTTTAAGCTTGCCAGCCATTTTAAAGTGAATTACAAACAAAAATTTTGTCAGTACACAGCGCAATCACTGACGTTGGGACTCGAAAATACGTAATTTGACAAAATTTTGGTATGACTGAGGCGGTTGTATGTCCGAGTGGTCGTAAGTTGAGTAAGGCGTAAGTCGGGGAGGAGCTATAGTCTTATGCAGAAATATTATAATTTTTGTCAAATTCATTTATATCCCTTGCAGATTGCAAAACTTAGTTTTTGTCCTGATGATGAGGAAGAGGAAGAAGAAGAGGAGGAAGAAGAAGAGGAAGAGGAAGAGGCTGATGAATCAAATGGAAATGACAAGGAATTTAAGATGGCTAAAAACCCTGATGTTGACACCAGCTTTTTACCGGACAGGGCAAGAGAAGATGCTGAAAATAGACTCAGGGAAGAATTGCGACAGGTCAGCAAAAATTATCTTGTAAATACCGTATACATACATTTAAAAAAAAATTACAGTATACACTGAACCATCAACAATATGATAGTGTTGGGTCTCTGTGTTGATCAAATTAGCCTGAAATATTGAATTATCAGTACAAATAGAATTTACTGTAGCTGCATTAGAAAATGGAGTTAAAGTTAAGCAATTTTGAAACAAGTATCAATCAATCAGAGTACTGTCCTTATATCTGAGAGTTAGTGACCACAGTCCTCCACTATAAATGTTGTCAGGCTGTTTTTATCAATTCTCCAAGGGGACCAGTTTTTAATTTCATTCATCCATCCCAGTCTCTGCCTTTCTCTGGCCCTCCTGCCCTTAACTTTGCCTATTAATAGTTCTGTTATTATCCTCTCATCCCTAATTATATGACCAAAGTATCTAATTTTTATTGTTCTGTAACTTTCAAGTACAGCAAGTCCTCGTTTAACGTTGCCCCCGATAATGTTGTTTCGTTTAACGTCGTTATTCTTTAGATACCCATGATTCGGATAACGTCCCGCCGATTCAGTACAATGTCGTCACAGACTTCTTTGTACAGCACATCACCCTCTCTCATCTTGGCGCACTACGCTGCCACTCGTGGAGCATCACAGCGTCCCCAAGCTTCGCTAGTCTTTGTTAGCCTTCCACAGCGTTTGTGCGTGGTTAAGTGTTTTTGCTCTTAATACTGTACTCTCACCATTCGAAATGGCTTCCAAGTGCCCATCAAGTGCTACTGATGCTAGTGTTGTGAAGAAGCAACGTAAGACCATTAGCCTTGCTACGAAAATGGAGGTTTTAAACCGTTTTGAGAAAGGTGAATGTGCGGTGGACATTGCTGCTGTGCTAGGTCTAACCCCCACAACAGTGCGTACTATCCGTACCAGCACACACTCGCTCCACCACCTCTGCCCATCAGTGAGTACAATACAAAATGATTTAGTTTATTTATATATGTACTACTAGCAGAAACGCTGCCCTCCGGGCGACTCTTTCGCTAGGCCACGGTGTGAAATATCGTACGTTTGGCATACCTCGTTACAATGGACTACCTACCTACCTACCTACATATAACTACATATAACACCACCCATCATCACTACATATAACACCATCCATCATCACTACATATAACATCATCCATCATCACTACATATAACACCATCCATCGTCACTACATATAACACCATCCATCATCACTACATGTAACACCATCCATCATCACTACATATAACACCATCCATCATCACTACATATAACACCACCCATCGTCACTACATATAACAACATCCATCATCACTATATATAACATCATCATCACTACACATAACATCATCCATCATCACTACATATAACACCATCCATCATCACTACATATAACACCATCCATCATTATTACATATACTGTAACACCATCCATCATCACTACATATAACACCATCCATCATCACTACAGATCGGTAAAGTAGTTTCCGAGATTCTCGTGCGGACACACAGACAGACTTCTTTGTTTTATATATATATATTTTCTAAAAAAAATTCCGTTGAATTTCTGTATAGTGTATGTAATGTATTTTATGGGGCAAAGGGAGGCCTGGGAATGTAACTCCCGTATTTTATGTATTTCTTATGGGGAAAATTGATTCCGTTAACGTTGTGGTTTTCAGGAAGGGAGCCACGATGTTGAGCGAGGACTTAATGTATTTCTCTAGTTGTTCGTGCTAATCTCAGTACCTGTACTTCATTTGTTTTCTTGTCAATGTAGCTTATTCTTATCATTTGCCTACACAAAATCAGAAAACCTATGATTATTATAAAAATCTCAATGACACTGTGGGTGTGTAGTGGATCTGTAATGGATGTTTAGTGGATATAATGTGGATCTGTGGGATACATAGTCAAGGTCAAGTGCACCCATCATCGGTCTCATTGTAATTGTGCATCATCATAACTTAAGTTCAATTTAATTTATATATTACTTACGTTTTAAATAAACAATTAATTTTTCTACTTGATTAATTATTTCTTATTTACATCCAAATTCATAATTAGCAATATGTTTACTCAATGCATTGTCATCCATTCATAACATCTGAGATTAACTGAGTCACAACAGTGACACCAAGTGTTATGGCCCCAGTATTCACGTGATCGGCAGACGATGCACAGCTCGTATTGACACTATTGACGGCGGGGAAAATAAAATTTCATCGACGTGTCGGCTTTCTTTGTTTGAAATTTATTTAATAAACCTTTACAAATTTATTTAATGAAACATGTGGTATTAAAAAGCACATCATGTCCACTAAACATCCACATCATCATCACTACATCCCCACATGATCTTCTATACATCCACATCATATCCACTACACATCGTTCTTACATTACACAACTGTAATGAACATGTTTCAGTTCTTGGTTTTAACTGAAATAGGCCTAATTATAATAGATAAGTTGCCATTTGAGCTATTGACAACCACCCACTGACTCAGACTCAACACTTTGGTTCACCTCCCGCAGAGAAGAAACATGTTTTCTTATTTGATATTCTTATATGATATTTTCTTTATTTCTATTTCACATTTGAGTGATGAAAGTATTTTTCCACAATTTATATAGTTTTTACTTGTAACAATGGCAACATGTAAAGCCATCTCACAGGACACAGCTGACTGGTGAATGTTATATTTGAGTTGTGCACTTCGTTCTGATTGACTGAAATCAAAACAAACAGCATTAGTGTTGCAATGTTGATGGATTCTATTAGTTTTCTTTGTTAATTTTAATTACTTTTTTAACTTAGGTTGGATTGGGACTAATTCTCGTATCTCAGATTTTATAGAAATTAACAAACTATATACCTTAACTCACACAAGATAAACTCATAGATACTGTATGATGTTTTTGTCTGGACTAAAAATACCGAACTTTTTACATATACCTGTAGCTGTATTCGATGAATTTTGCGGATTCATTTTATACTGAAAACTTCCTTATAGTGTATCAAACTGGCTCCTCACCAATTATTTCAGTATAGTGAGGTAATACTGTACTTTCGTGTTAATGAGGTTGAGGGTGGAGTTGTCCAGTCACCTATCCATCAGCACAGAAAAGTTATTATTCCTCAAAATATGAAAATATAAAAATGATAGATTAATACTTAAGAACTGTAGTCATTCTTTGGGTGTCTGTCCACCAACTAATCAGCTGCCTTGCTACAAACTAACCCTAGGCCTCAGTTACAAGCTTCAAGTAAACAGACTATACTTCACTCACCGTCATGAGATAGTTGGTTAATTAGTCAGAAAAAAAAGCCATTATGTTAGATGGTTAGACTCCTCCCATGGTAGTACTTCTGAAGATGAATAAACTGGTTTCTTGCAAACTGTGTGAATAGGACTAAAGTAGAATGCTGGTTATCTAGAGTCCGGGTAACCAGCAGCTTCAACTAACTGGCCCCTAAATGAAATAATAATAATAATAAAAATATCTCCAACATCAGCTAGAATCGTAAGTTTGAATACTGTGCATAATGAGGATGAGCTGCCATATTTATTCTTAGGATAGACAATAAAATTGATACTTAGCATATCATTAAATACAATAGCACATATTTTATGTACCAAAAATAGCTCCATCCACAGTCAAACCATCCTCTGGATGAGTTCAGACAGGCAGTCACCCAGCTGACTTACAGATGTGTGGCACCGCACTGCGTTGTGTAAGCCATGACATCACATCGGGAGGAAGCGCGACCACGCAGTTATAGCCAACCTTCTCCACGCACACGCGCTCATTTCCCACACATACACACCCATGCTTTTTTTATTTTATAGTTTTATATTACATTTTCTTTATTTCTAAGCCACATCATTTATATAGTGGAATAAGTGTTAAAGAAGCTCATTTTTCCAAGACATAAATTTGCAAGGTCAGCCTGTAGCAGTGTGCATTGTTGGATTTATTGGGGGATCCTAAGAGTGGGATTCTGCGAACTGGAATTTTTTTTTCATCAGGCACCTCTCAATCACTGTAGGTGCCAGATAACAGGGGTTCTACTTTTTAATGGGCACAAAACTATAATGGTAAAGATAAAAGGGGCGAAGTAACAAAGTTCAGCTGTAGTGTATACAGTATATGCTTCATCATTACCTATGCTGCCATATACAGTTAATAACTATTATGTAGACTACTTCTTGCAATCTGTTGTTGCTGTGTCATGGGAGAATCATAGAATTTACAAAAGAAAACATTTTGCTAGACATATACAGTATTCTTCCTTTAATTTGTGGTTTATTTATTGGCCATATCCACCCAGCAGTTCTACTGAAGTTGTTGGTGGGCCATCAGATACTGTATTGCATTACTACTTGTCATGAGTGAAATTAAACTTTATTAGGAGTCATATGTTATTCATCTGGTTTATCTTACACAAGTTAGTTTCACCCATCACCAGACCTTCCTCAAAAATTACTCAACAGTTTGCTCTTTACTTATTCATGCACACTGCTGCTTACTGGAATAAATGTCTCTCCCTGTTGCTTCTAGTGCATCCTTTACCCCCCATCTTTCTGTGGTTTGGGTTCTTCTTTTCCCTCCTGTCGTTCACCTGTGAATTATCCACCCTTTTTACTGGTCTTTTACTTTCCAATTTACCAGCATGTCCAATGTCCATACAGTAGAGCAGACCTTCATTTTCTCTCTATCCAATACAGTATTCCATTCACTTCCATCTCACCTTGTATCTGTATTTCTTGTTCTCTGCATCATGGTTAACCCTAATCTGTTGCTTCAAATTTGCTTCTTACTGTACTTGTACTTAATTTAATTTCCAAATTTTCTAGGAATGGGTAGCAAAACAAGAAGCCATGAAAAATGAAGAAATCGAGATCACCTTTAGTTACTGGGATGGATCAGGCCACAGACGGTCTGTACGTATGAAGAAAGGTAATAACAGCTTGTAAGTTTTTATTAATGATTTGAAGTGTTTAACTTTAGAATTGTATTGTGCAATGTAATTTGTTTTTAGTAACCGTATTGTCAAGATGACCGACTGTTCCTAAGAAATTTTCTTTACTCAGCATGACATTTTTGTTTTGTTAATTGTATTTGTTCTTTACATCTTATTTATATTGTATGTTCTTTCTTGTAAATACTGGAAATTCCTTGCAGTCAGTAAAAATTTTCTGTAGCTGGAAAAACTCATTAGCTAAAAACTTGGTTTACCAAGTGCAAGGTAGATGTAATTCCTTATTAGCTGCCATTCACAAGATAGCTTGAATGTCATGGACTTACCTGGGCATTGGTTAAAAACTCATGAGACTTGACATGGATGACCTGGTCTACTTTGAATGATTAATAAACCTCTCCTATTGTGACTACTTATATAGCCCTAGGAATGGAGTACAGTATTTGACAACAAAGGCATTTCTCTCAGAAACTGGAGGGAAGAGGTCTTCCAAATTTTAACCTTTTCACTATTTTGTTGTTGCTGTATGTGTGAGAGCATTATTTATTATATACACTGGGTATGATGAATATGGGCCAAGGACTTTAAAGAATATTGTGTGCACTCTCTTATTAATGGTTGAGGGTTATATAACTCTTCTGTTGGCATCAGCCAATGCTTCTATATATGGGAATGGGGGATTTTTTTATCGACTGGTATTCAGTATCCATCAAGGTGTCACAGAGGAAAGTGCACAAATGGTTCAAAATGAATTTTGTTGTTGAAAGGTTGGATGCTGTTGATTCTGATAACTTAAAGGACATTGATGATGAACCTACCATATTTTACAGCATATAAGAGACACTTTTTTGTTTGAAAAATTGCAAAAAAAAATCAGCCTGTGTCTTATATGTGAAGTTGCAGTCTCCCGCAAGCAAATGAATCACCCATTGCTGTCTCCAGTGACACGTTCGACAGTTGGGGGACAAAGGTCTAGTGAAGTATTTATTTGTTTATTAATGTCCTTTAGATTGAGTTTTTGTTTTTTGCTTATAAAATGTCACAGAAGTGACCGGGGAGAATATAATTTACATTGCTGGAATTCTTATAAGATAGTGATTAATTTGAATATAATCATGCTATAGTTTGCACGAGACAAATTTTTTAAAATCATTTAGTACATTATTTTGAGTACATGTACAGTACAGCTTTGCCCTTAGGACAGTGTAGCGTGCCCAGAGAAACATTAGACGCGAATTTTAAAATATGATGCACCAGATTGACTCTCGCAAAATAGGAAAGATTCGCTTTAAATTAAAATGTTGTTCTTAATTGTGGGTGTCGCTATAAATCATAATCTTAAATTGAATCGCTTTAAATTGATGTTCTACTGTACCACGAATTTGTGGTGGTGAGATGTGAGACTGCTTTTTAATTGTTTTGCCTGCCCTAGGTAGAAATTTAGTGGTTCTTACAGGGTGGACCTCGCTAATCTGGGAAGCTTGGGACCAAACCAGTTCTGTATTAGTGAACATTCCGAACCATTGAAGCTGAGGTTAAAAAAGAGGCAAAAAATACTGAATAAAATGTATTATTACTGGTACCAATACAACTTAAATCAGCATACATCTAGCCCAGGCTGATGTTCCAGGGTTGCGGTCATACCCATTAAATCTGCAAATAATTTTATTGGCTTTGAAATATAATAGGTGGCCTGCAAAGAGCCCTCATGAGTCCGATGTGGCCCCCTGAACTACAAAGTTGTACCATCCTTGCTCTAATGTGATATATATATATATATATATATATATATATATATATATATATATATATACATACATACATATATATATATATATATATATATATATATATATATATATATATATACATACATATATATATAACGTATTACCCCGCCTATGGGTTTCACTTAACACGTTTTATCATATCTGTGATTGCCTGAGGCTGAACTTTCACTTAACACGGATTTTTCACATATACGCGGTGAGTGTCCGCCCGAGCTATTTTTAGATTTGCCCCACCCGCCACCCTGCCTGACTGCCTGTTTTAGCTCATAAAATTCATACAAATTACTCTGCCAGAATATATTTACACTGCTGGAATTCTTATAATTTGGTGATTATTTTGAATATAAACATCATATATTTTGTATTAGACATACAAATTTTAGATAAAAATTTTTCTCTGAGTAACTATGTTATCTTTTGTGCAAAATATATGACATGATATTCAAATATTCCTGGTCTTACAAGGAATCCAGCAATGTCAATTATATTATCCTAACTTTAGTTTGAGGTATTTTATTACAAAAAAGTTAAGATTCTGGTTTTCCCACACATCTCCTTGGGACGTTGGTGGGGGGTGGGGAGAGGACCGACCGACCATCTGTTACCCTGTGAAGAATATTTTTTTTATTAACTGAAGATATTTGTTTTAGCTCATAAAATCATACAAATTTATCGTCAGATATAATTTACATTGCTGGAATTTATATTTGATGATCATTTTGAATATAAACATCATATGTATTGCAGAATAGACACAAATTTTAGATAAAATGTCCACCTGAGTAGATATGTTCTTTTGTGCAAAATATATGACATTTATATTCAAAATATTCCTGGTCTTACAAGGAATCCAGCAATGTCAATTATATTATCCTAACTTAATCTGAGGTATTATTTAATACAAAATGTTAAAATCTATTTTTTTCACCCAACATCTCTGAGGGAGGATTGGTGGGGTGGGGAGGGGTTGGGACTGACCGCAAGGTTGGAAGAGGGAAGCGGTGGGGTACTTTGATTGACAGATAGTGTCGTGAAGAATATTTTTTTTTATTAACTGAAGATATTTGTTTTAGCTCATAAAATTCATAAATTACCCGCCAGAATATAATTTACATTGCTGGAATCTACAATTTGGTGATCATTTTGAATATAAACATCATATATTTTGCATTAGACATACAAATTTTGATAAAATGTTTCTAAGTATTAGGATACTGTTAACGAACTCAATCTTCCAGAAGGTCGTCATAATCAAACGTTCGTTAACCGAAACCATTGTTTCAATGGGTTTTGCAATTGGTTCCAGCTCACCAAAATTTCCTAAATTCAACAAAAATGGTAGAAAAGTTCACTTACTTTGAGGTGTGTATGTAGAAGGCTCCTGGATGATGATGAGATGATGATGGATTTAGAATGGGGGTGGAGGAGAAGGAAGAAGAGAAGGCATTGGGGTGGAAGAGAAGTCACCCCATGGTGCCATTTCACCCATAAAATTTTAGCTTTCTGTTTAATTCAAGATTATTTCTTTTAAATCAACGCTGCACTGCATTATATATTGTCAATATATAAAATATATTTCAAAATGACCAATAATTTGCTTTGGAAACACAGAAAAAGCATTTAGTTGAAGAGAGTCTCAAGCAAGATGTTACCTCCAGTGAAACAGAGAGAGACTGACGCCTGTTTGCTGTGTTAAGAGGCTGGATGCCATGATAAACTAGTCACTTTACCTTAATTTTGTTCAATAATTGTTAAAATGACTAAAAAATTGAATATTAAACTTTAAAATTATTGAATAGTATAAACTTTGATATTTACAAAATAGTAAGGAATTTAAGCCCAGAACCGATTAATGTATTAGGACTGATACTAAACCTGGTTGCCCGTCAGTGCAAGCGAAAACATGTTGAGGTCGGTTCTGAAGAAGTTCGTTGTTTAATTTTTTTTTCGTAACCAATTGAAGATCCTATGGAAGGCAGTTCGTTAATCGAAAATTCTAACCGAGGTGTTCGTAAAACTAGGGGTCACTGTACATATGTTATCTTTTGCAAAAATATATGACATTTATATTCAAAATATTCTGGTCTCATAAGGAACAGCAATGTCAAAATTGTATTATCCTAACTTAGTTTGAGGTATTATTTATTACCAAAGTTAAATATTCTGCATCCCACACATCTCCTTGGGACGGTTGGTGGGGGTGGGGGGGAGGGAGGACCGAACGTACCATCTGTTACCCTGGAAGAATATTTTTTTTTTTATTAACTGAAGATATTTGTTTTAGCTCATAAAATTCATACAAATTACTCGTCAGAATATAATTTACATTGCCGGAATTTATACTTGATGATATCATTTTGAAATATAAACATCATATATTTTGCATTAGACATACAAATTTTAGATAAAATGTTCATTCTGAGTAGATATGTTTTTTGTAAAAATATATGACATTTATATTCAAAATATTCCTGGTCTTACAAAGGAATCCAGCAATGTCAATTATATTATCCTAACTTTAATCTGAGGTATTATTTAATACAAAATGTTAAAATTTATTTTTTTTCACCCCACATCTCTTGAAGGAGGATTGGTGGGGGTGGGGGAGGGTTGGGACTGACCGGCTGAAGAGCGGGAGGCAAGGTGGGGTACTTTGATTGACAGATAGTGTCGTGAAGATTATTTTTTTTTATTAACTGAAGATATTTGTTTTAGCTCATAAAATTCATACAAATTACCCGTCAGAATATAATTTACATTGCTGAAATTTTATAATTTGAGGATTATTTTGAAAAACATCATATATTTTGCATTAGACATACAAATTTTAGATAAAATTTTTCTGGCAACTATGTTATCTTTTGTGCAAAATATATGACATTTATATTCAAAATATTCCTGGTCTTACAAGGAATCCAGCAATGTCAATTGTATTATCCTAACTTTAGTTTGAGGTATTATTTATTAAAATTTAGTGGTTTTCCCCAAAATTTCTCAGAGAGGAAGAGCCGCAGTGTAGTGTGGAGAGGGGAGGAGTTGAGTCTTATTTGAATGGACATTAACTTGCGACTGTATTTCATTTCTCTAAGTATTAATTGTGCATGTATCATCATAAAATTAAGATGTTATTTTACTACAACATAGTTATGTGTCTTCAAAAGTGGAGTTGGGGGTCGGGCCGGTTTCTATTGGAATTAACCCATATGTTCTGTTGTTCACTTAACGCCGGATTTCTTCACTTAACACCGACCCCCTCTGGGGTTCATTGACTGCTGCAGGGGTAATAAATTGTATATATATATATATATATATATATATATATATATATATATATATATATATATATATATATATATATATATATATATATATATATATATATATATATATATATATATATATATATATATATATATATATACATACACACACACACACATGAAATGTTAACGTCAATTTGAACAACGTCTGGACGATATATTATTCTAAAAACTCGACACCTGCTGGACTAATTATTACCTACTAATTTCGACGAAACATGGTGATCTCCCCATACTGGTCAGGATATTATGTGCGCAAGGAATTTACTTCTCATTTAGGCTTTTTTAAACCCACATCTATTGAGGATAAAATCTTTCAACAAATTTGACAACACATTTGCTGTAATCAGACATATATCTAAGTTGTTCGAATAATTAAAACTTAGCAAATTAGCTGCAATTTCAAATTTGTGGTATTACTAAAAAGGAAAATGGTGCACTCTAAGATTAAGAGAGAAAAACTATAATTCAGGTCCTGATGTGAGAGAGAAAACCACTCAGATGACGGGGGACTAAATAAAAAAATAGCCATGTGGACTATATTAGTTTACCCTTTTTCATCACTTTTAAATAAACCCAGCTATGTTTATGTGTGTTTATATATTACAATACGAGTATATATATTTAAAGTGAGTATAAATAATCGAAATGGGAAACTTGGGTTGGGCCCGGTGCCTGGAACCAATTAGAACAACCCATAGGTTCTGGTACTTTCGTTATTCAAGCAAAAGTCCCAATTAGGCGCCGATAACCAAGGATGACTGTATACTTGTGATGAAAATAGCGTTTTGTGTGGTACAGGGTACCAAGTGACACCAGATCCCGCCTTCATCAAAGAATAAACAAATTGCAACAAATTAAAAAACATTCAACAACGCATTATCTACAAGAATCCTCCAATGTAAGTTATATTCACCCAGGTCGTTGGGTAAAAATTATGAGAAGAGCTTTTAGTCACTTTGGCAATGATAAAATCAACACGGCTGCAGTCAGGCAGGCCTTCGCGCGCCAATCTGTCAAATCTTATGTCAAATAAAATAAATAAAACAAACACACGCCAGACACGGTCACCTCCTGCCCCCTCCCGCCCTCCTGCCCTCCCGCCCTCCCCCCGCCCCCCTCTTCCCACCACCCTCGTGTTCAAGATAAAAGATTGGTAATTTCTTTGTTTATTTTATATAATATCTCCGACTAAAGTTACGATAATATAATTTGCATTGCTGAAATCCTTGCAAGACAGAGATTAATATGAATATAAACATCATATATTTTGCTCAAGATATAAAAAATGTAGTACATTAGTGAACAATACTGTACTGTAGTACATTTTATAAAAAGTTTTTCAACTGTATTTTTGGGTAGATTTACATAAATTTCTTCATTTATTTTCACCCATTTACATTCACTCACCATACTAAAATAAACGTAAAATAAATTAGTGCAAAGCTGGACTGCACAGGTACTAATTTGATATCGGTACTAAAATTGTTATGTCTAGTGCGAATTACAATGTGTTTATATTCACATAAATCAGTATCTTACAAGAATCCTAGCTATGTTAAATATAGTTTCCTTGGTCATATCACTGGCATTTTAAAATGAGAGAAGCTTAGTAGGACTGTTAAATAAACACACAGAGACCTTCGCCTCAACCCCCCAACCCCTCGCTGGGTGGCGTGGCTGGCTACTTCCCCCCAGCCAGGCTTTTAGACTTACAGTTTTTATCTTATATAATATCTCAGACTAAAGTTAGGAGATTATAATTTTCATTGCTGGAATCCTTGCAAGACAGCCAATAATTTGAATATAAACGTCATATATTTTGCACAAGAGATAAAAATTGTTGTACATTAGTGTACAGTACTGTACTACATTTTATAAAAAAGTTTTTCAACTGTATTTTTGGGTAGATTTACATAGATTTCTTAGTGCAAAGCTGGGGTGCACATGTACTAATTTGATTACAGTACTAAAATTGTTTTGTCTTGTGCAAATTATAGCATGTTTATATTCAAATTAATCAGTATGTTACAAGAATCCCAGCTATGTTAATTATATTCACCCAGGTCATTTCACTGGCTTTTTATAAGAGAGAAGCTTAGTCACCTAAGAACCGATAAATATACACGCGTTAGACCTGGGCCTGTGCCAACTGTCAAACGTACTACCTCCCCTCCCCCCACGCCCCCTCGTACCCTCTCTCTCCCCCATCTGCTGGCGTTGCTGGAATCCTTGTAAAACAGTGAATAATTTTAATATAAACGTCATGTATTTTGCACAAGAGATAAAAATTAATCACCTGTATCACATTACAGTAGTGATTTAACAGTAAAAGTGTATATCTACGTATATAGTATTCCACATACACGTAAGTATAAATAAAAAGTTTATGTGATGATCGGACAACGTCCATTTCGGTTAACGTCATTTACGCGGTCAATTGAACCCGTGGAAGTTCGCGTAAAACGAGAAACGCGTAAACGAAATAACAGGACATATGGGATTAATTGAAATAGAGACTGGGCCGACCCCGAAACTGCACTTTTTCTGACACAATAGTACGTTGTAGTAAAAATAACATCTTAATTTTATGATGGTATGCACACACAATTAATATTTAAGAGAAATACATTCCCCGGTTAATGTGTTAATGTCCATTCAAATTCAAATAATGGACTCAACTCCTGCCCCCTCCCATCTTCCCACGCTTGCTGGCTGCTCCCTCCCTGAGAAATGTTTGGGTGAAAACACTAGGTTTTTAGGTTTCATAATAAATAATACCTCAGACTATGTTTAGGATAATATAATTGACATTGAATATTTGCTCAGGCAAATAATTCCCTTCCACAATCACATCATCTAACTCCTCCTTAAAAGCTTCGGCAGCACCAACATCGGCTCTAGCTGCCTCTCCACTCACCTTAACATTGTGTAGACTGTAGCATTTTTTAAATCTATTAAACCACCCATGACTTGCTGTAAAGGTTTGATCACATTCATCTCCTGCCTGCTCCTTCAGGCTTTGGAACAGGCTTCTTGCTTTAGCCTGTATGGTTAGAAGGCTTAAGGGTACACGCTTCTGTATCTGGTCTTCTATCCATATCACCAATAATTTTTCCATATCGTGAATAGGACCTTGTCTTTTCTTCGAAATTATAATTCCCTTTATAGGTGTTCCTTTCACTACATCACGAATACGTTCCTTGTCCTTCAGAATAATGAATATGGTCGAGTGCGAGAAACCTAGGTCGCGTGAGATTGTTGCTACAGTTTTTCCATTCTCATACTTCATTATTATCTTCATTTTCATCTCAAAAGTAATTGCCTGTCTCCTTTTCTTCGGAGCACCACCAGCACTCTCACTTGTACGCTTTCCAGTCATTATAAAGTCAATTAAATACGATAATAACTCAAGTACACAGCGCGATCAGTATAGGATACAATAGCCAAACACGAACTAAGCGCTGTACTGAGTGAGTGTAACCACGCGGTGACCCGAGCCAGCCACGCTCTCGCTCGGGACGGAAACGTTTCGGTATAGAAAATGCGCGCGCCATTTGAAAAAATTTTGGTCACGACTGCGGCGATCGTATGTGCGGACGGTCGTACGGTCAGAGCAAGTCGTAAGTGCGGATGGACGTAAGTTGAGTTAGTTGTAAGTCGGGGACTATCTGTACTTTTGTTGCAGTGGCTGAGTGGATCCAGCTATCACATCTTGTCTTAAGGGTCATTGGTTTAAATCTGGGGTACAGTATTCTTAATACACCTAGGTGTGGAAGTGAAGGTGGTCATGTGCAGTGCAGTGCTAGCCACCCTGCCTCTTTGAATACCAAAGGCTTTTATATCCAGTGTACTTTATCCATACTGTCCTTAGTGGGCATTATGTGTATGGAACCTATTTTATCCTATTTTACTTTTCACTTCACTTTATAATAATAATAATAATTTATGGTTAATTGAAAGAGCATGGCAGCCTAAAGGCTGAAAATATAGTTACGTAATTGAGGAATAGGTCACTTGGTTGAATGATTACTCAGTTGTACTTTTGTAAAAAATCTCATACATTTCATCTTACATTTACAGGGAACAGTGTGTATCAGTTTCTCCAACGTGGATTAGAAATCTTACGTAAGGAGTTTAATGAGCTACGTTCTGTATCTGCGGATCATCTGATGTACATTAAGGAGGATCTTATCATACCACATCATTACACCTTTTATGATTTTATTGTTAATAAGGTATTTATTTTTAGTTTAATTTTATCATTCTCCAGTATTTAAATAGGTACCTTGGTCTAATTAAACAAACTTCTCTTCCATACTTATGGTTACTGATGCTTTTAAACACTTGTGTCACCCAGTGGTCAAAAAAGTCCCCAAACTTCTTAAATTGTATGCTTTCCATCAATGAAATGGGTAGTACTTTTTATAAGTCATTCTAGTTTTCTACTCGTGCATTCTGTTTCTTTTATTCATATAACTTCTGCAGTGTGAGTTTCATGCAATATAAGAAGAAATCAGTTACTGTAGCAAAATATTTAGGTTGAAATAAAACAGGAAATGCATAGTATTTTACTTGTCACTCTGCCTTAAATGTGGAAAAAGCTGATATATTTAAATACGATAAATGATTCATGAATAATATATGTACTGTACTGTACTTAGATAATGTACTGTATTATCATATTTTTATTCTTTAGGCACGTGGTAAGAGTGGACCACTGTTTCACTTTGATGTTCGTGATGATGTACGATTGGTGAGTGATGCATCTGTAGAAAAGGAAGAATCACATGCAGGTAGGGTGATTTGCTTAAAATTTTTAATGTTTGTTTTACATTATGTTTCTCCATTCAGTAACCATAACTTGCTGTTTTAATGAGACTGCAAATCCTGATTTATGAGGATTTAATTTATTGAAATTCCCAGTTACAAAAAATGTATGTTTCTTCCATGCTTTGATTTTCGAGCACAAACCCCAGTTTAAAAAATTATAATTAGCAATAATGAAAATATGCTAGTATAATGAAATTTTTTCTGTCAGTATGCTTATTTATTTCACTAACTTATTTTGTTATTGTCTAGCATGTTAAGTTTACAAAAAAGCTTTCAATGTGTTATTTGTCTACAGTCACCTTTTAACTAACTCCTCAATCTCATGTGAGGACAAGCAGACTTGTCACTCGCATCACTACACAGTCATTGGGCCAGATGCCTAATTGTCCAATTTCTCCTCATTTACTGTCATGTAATATGTGGAAAATTATGTATAAGAAAATTAATCTGTACAGGAATATGTGCCCTGGGTATCGCAAAGGATGTGTTCCTATAAGTTATTGCGAATAACAACTTTGCGAATATCGGCAATTTTCCCCATAAGAATCAATGTAATTAGCAGGGGATGTATTCCCAGCTAGCAACTTTCTCATTTTTTTATATACTGTACACTCCTCATTATCCAAGGCTCTTGGGGACCAGGGTCGTGTGTATACTGTAGTACTAGTAAATGTGAGGAATAAATAATAATAATACTGTACTAATAAATAAAAGAAAAAATACCACATTGCCAGTTGGCAATAGTTTCACTACATGCAGGAGACAGGAGACTGGGACAGCTGGGATCCCAACCGCTGTTCCCTCCATGATCCGTGTGCTAACTCCAGTGCACGTAAGAAATGTTTATTCCCTTTATGTTTTTGACCTTATAATAATCACATCTTTTATTTTTTACACATTCTGTATGAGCGATTGTGTACATGTAACAGAGTAAGAAAAATTGAATAAAGTCACGTATATATACCCGAAATTACGAGTTAAAAATAACAATAACGCAGCTTAGCCTGGTATATGTGCCAAGTCCACACATACATTCACTTCACACACATACACATCCATGCTCTTCATTTTTCTTATTTTATAGCAACATGCCATCTCCACAGATATTATTTTATCTGATTCACTTTGCAAATAAGAGAGGTATTTTTATTTATTTTTTTATGGGATTAGCCCACTAGAGCACAGGTCAATGACTCACATCAGGGCCTGGGGGGCAAAAATAAAATAATTACAGTGGTCCCTTGATTAATGAACACAATTCGTTCCAGAGGGTCATTCGTTAACCAAAATTTTTTTTTTACCGAATCCATTGTTTCAATGGGATATTGGGTAATTGGTTCCAGCTCACAGAAAAGTACATACAAAGTAAAAAAAAAAATGCAATAAATTACACTTACTTTGAGGTGTGTATGTAGAAGGTTCCTGGTTGATGATGATGATGGTAATTAGAAGTGGGGGTGGAGGAGAAGAGAAGGAAGTAGGGATGGACGAGAAATCACCTTTCAGGGAACCTTGCTTGATGCATTAATTTCACCAATAAAATTTTAAGTTCACTAGGTGTAATTCAAGATTATTTTATTTAAATCAACACTGCACTGCGCTGTATATTATCAATATGTTAACTAAATTTCAGAATGAAAAATAATTTCAATGACAAATGCAAAAATATTCAAGACACCAACAAAATAGATGTTCACTCCACTGTCAACAAAGCCCAACTGATGCCTAGTGGCTGAGTCAAGCTTCTGATGGGAGCACAAAAACTAGTTCCCTGTACTGCATATATTATCAATATGTTAAATAAATGTTAAAATGACTAATAATTTTAATATAAAACATGCAAAAATATTAAAGAGCACAACTTTCTTGATATTTACTCCATTGGAAACGAATGTAAACAGAACAGATTACTGAATTGGCAGACTAGCCCATCAGCTGATGCTCAAAACAAAACGTGATTTTCGTAAGGATTTCGTAATCTAATTTTTGTTCGTTAACCGAATTGAGGATTCTTATGGAAGGTAATTCGTTAACCGAACCGTTCATTAACCGAGGGACCACTGTACATGGAAAATCTAAAATTAAATACAGTACAGTAAAAGTAATAAATAATGAAGAATAAATACAGTGTTACTGTACACTTACCTTTAATGTAGTCGGCTGAATGCACATGGGGCCCCCGTAATTTTTTAATTATACATGGAGACTACATTAACTGGATGAAGCAGAGGAGGAGACAGGGCTGGGTGGGCCCTCAATGTCGCTTTCTTCAGACAGGTTAAAATACAGGGGAAAATTGCTTGTTGAAGGTATTGGATCATCTTTAGGGAGTGAAGAAGCAGCACTGGTGGGGCGTGAGGAGACAGCACTGGGGGACTTCTTAAAATATATATCCAATTTAGACTGCACAGATTGCTTTTTCTTTTCATTATAAATCTCCCTGTTGCAAACAAGTGCATCTTGGATCATTCTGTCAACTTTGGCAAAACGCTCAACGTTTTGATCCATTCCGTCAAACATTTGCATCCCCTTATTAATTGTAGCAAATTCCTCTGCCATTTGTTTCAATGAAAAATTTTTGGGGGGTGCAGGTTCTTCTTCTACATTTTGTCTCTCTTCTTCCTCTGCAATTTTCTGTGCTTCCAGTTCAATAAGGTCCTCATTACTTAGCACTTCTGCTACACTTTCAACCAACTGCTCAACATCTTCATTATCAGTTTCTAACTCCAGCTGTTTACCCAACTCCACTATCTTGTTACTAATCACAGAAATTACTTCATCTTCATTAAATCCTCTGAAACTGTTCACATATCTTTTCAGGAGTTTCTTCCATATTCTATTCATGCACTGACCTGTAACCTCATCCCATGCTGCAGCTATGTTCTTTATACATTTCAAAATGTTGGAGTCCTTCCAAAACTCTCTGAGCGTTTTCTCACCTTCAGTAGCAGCAACAGCCTGAGCAAAGGTCGTATGTAAATAATTAGCTTTGAAAGCTGCAATAGCACCTTGATCCATGGGTTGGATGATAGAGGTAGCGTTACGTAGAAAGTAGACTATCTTAACATCTTAACATCAGGGTACAGGTCGTCCAGGTGTGGTTGGTGTCCCGGAGCATTATCCAAAATTAACAAAATCTTGAATGTAATCCCTTGTTGCAGACAATACTCCTTGGCTCGTGGAATGAAACAAGTCACGAACCAATCCTCAAACAGTACTAGGCCTCAATTTAAATGGGTACCAGATTCTGCTAGATTTTAATTCAACTGCATACTACTCAAACCAATTTATTAAAACGCACACATTATTCCTCAGGTAAAGTGGTAATGCGAAGTTGGTATGAACGCAACAAGCACATCTTTCCAGCAAGTAGATGGGAACCATATGATCCTCAGAAGAACTATGAGAAATACACAGTTAAGGATAAAAACAAGAAGAAATGAAAACTCTTCCATTACACCCTAAACTCTCAAGTACAAATATGTCTTCTGTTCCTGCTGTACTGCCAGATAATGGGATGTTTATAATACTAAGGTATTCTTAGAATGTACAAACACAAAAACAATACCCTCCTTCCACTGACTGAGTATAATTTAACATAAACCACTTACCCATAAAACCCACGTATCCATAATAGTGTGGAGAGGAGGAGTCACAAGTGTAACACTCTCTCTCATATATATATATATATATATATATATATATATATATATATATATATATATATATATATATATATATATATATATATATATATATATATATATATATATATATATATATATATATATATACATACTCCGACTTACGACGGCCGCAGATTTTTTTTTGTTTTTTTTCAAATGACACGCATTTTCTATACCGAAATGTTTCCAGTTAATGTAGTCTCCATGTATAATTAGAAAATTATGGGGGCCCCATGTGCATTCAGCTGACTATATTAAAGGTAAGTGCTCAGTCACACTGTAACCATTCCTTATTGTTCACTACTTTTACTGTACTGTATTTCATTGTAGATTATTTATTTAAATTTTTTTTTTTTTTTATATATGTCGGACTTACGACCATGTCGGACTTACGACCTGGATTTGGGTCCCTAACCCCGTGTAAGTCGGGGTCTATCTGTATGTATGTATGTATGTATGTATGTATATATATATATATATATATATATATATATATATATATATATATATATATATATATATATATATATATATATATATATATATATATATATATATATATATATATATATATATATATATATATATATATATATATATATATATATTTTTTTTTTTTTTTTGCATATATGAACATTCCCCAAAATCAGTATAAATACACGTTATTTTTCTATCCTGCAGCCACATTTTATTGTTGTCAGCCATCAAAGGAAGAGATTACATTACAATAGATAAAAAACAAAACAATAACAATGCTTCATTTACAGGAAAAATAGTGAAAATAACAGTCTGCATATTAAGGTAGTTCAGTATAGCTCCTGTCTAACACCCCAGGAGAGCTTGTAAGCTAAGGAAAAACAGATGCTTTGTTGCATTTCTCCCAGCTGGTCCAGACTGTGAAATAGAGTGAGCCACCGATGATTTTACCATCTTGCTCCCCTGAAAATTACAGTAGAATTACATGAATAACATAAGTGACACTACAAACAAATTAATTCAACTTGTAATTACTCTTAGAGATAATGATGAATGTTGATGGTGGCTGAAGCAGCTCAGTTACTAGCTGTGTCTCACACAGCTAGAGTCTCATCGCCATCTTTCACCCCATCCCAGCTGAGTGGGCTGCATCATGGTATGTCATGTGTTTGTTCTGTATTGTACATAGTCATGCTGTATTGTTGTTAGATCTCATATTACAGTCATTATCATAACATTATATTTTAGATTTTATATATTGTAAAAGAATTGGATCATAAAGATGAATTGGAACATGATTTATGGGATCTTGTCAGTGATATAACAAATGCCTTTGTACCTAATTTCATTTAATTATATTGTTAATTCTGACACTTTTATTTTGAGTAGTCTTTATAACAAAATTTAGTTCATTTATCAGATTTATAGTACAGGTCTATAATAATTATGTATGAAATCATTCAATAATTCATGTGAAAATAAATAAAATAATATAAACATCAAAGGTGTCAGCATCTTGACACAATATAATGTACTCGATCTCTTTCTAGTTCAACTTCCCTACCATAATTTTTGGAAGGACTCTTGTGGTTTTTATCTTCCATCACTGTCATGAGTGCTGCTGGAGAGAGAAAGGGCCAGCATTCACCAGCTCTGTCCTTAATAAGTGACAGGAGTAGAAAGCAAACAGCCTGGAGTTTAAAATTAAAATTCTAGAGGTACAAATCTGATGAACTGGGTGGCAAGATCTCTTGCTTGAACAAATGCAAGGGGTGTTGGCGAGTGTCAATAATGAGGTTTTAATATAGAGAGAATTGACTACTGGCCACACCACAGTACGCTACAGGCGTAATCGGCTACAAAGTAATCGACTACATCGATTACTTAATTTTTGACAGCTTTGAGCAACCTCTAAATATTAATATATTTACAAAAACCTCTACTCACAATGTTTTCGTCCTAAATGGACACTTTTAGCAGGGTCTGTGGTAAAAAATTTCAAAGTTGAAAAATAAGGACCACCCTACTGTACATGTGGCAATTCTGATTGGAATGCTATTTAGAAAGAGGCCTCTTCTCCACAGCAAACATGCTGCGGTGGGTTTCAGACATCGCTTACATAAAACAACTTACATTTACATAATTCTACACTAATTTTACTATTTATATTGTACTCAAATATGTAGATACAGTGATTTCTCCGTTAGCCCGAACAATTGGTGCAGAGCACTTCTGGGAATGAGAGATTTCTGGGTAACGAGACAACTCTCTCAAAGCCGTAGGAAAATTCCTCATCCCCAAAATTTTCCGGTTAATGGAAAGATGCTCTCGTAAGTTCCAGAAATTGCCCATTACATCATCTCTCGAAGCCGGAAAAATACCCCCCACTCCCGGAATTTTCCAGGTACCGAAAAAATTTCTTAAAATTTCCGGAAAATGCACCTGATTTTCATCTCTCAAACGTGGAAAAAACTCCTTCCATCCTCAGAATTTTCCGTAATTTTCTGGGTATCGGGAAATTTTTGTTCTGAATTTTCCGAGAAAATTTCAATTCCGGCTATCGGAGAGATCCGGGTTTGGGATTCTAGCTATCGGAGATGTTACTTATACATGTCCAAAAGTTGGAAGAATAGTTTTTTGTGCCATTTCATGGTCTTACGTGCACAATCTATACTGCAGATCGTGCTGTCAGACTTGTCAACCTGACGCATGTTGGAGGTGTAGTCTGGGACACAGTGTGTCTTGTAGATCCTCATCCTGGTCTTGGGGTCGATGTTGTGGGTGATGGAGTTGGGCGTTGGTGTTGGTGTTGGTGTCAGGGTCGCCAACATCACTCTCACTATCTTTGTCATGTGGGTAATCAGGGTCATTGATATCAGAATCACTCAAATCACTGTCTGTTCCTAATGGCTCCTTAGCCTCACAAAGGGCATCCTCATCAAAGAGAATAGAGTTTATTTTCTGCATCACTGATAGCACGACGTCATGACATCCTTACAGAGTGGGACAGGCGAAGGTACTGGCGTGTTGCCAAGAAACATGATGCCTAATTACATGATTGCCTGTGGGGGTGTATGCCAGACAACTCAAAAAGTTTATTTATAGCTCTAGAGCCCAAAGAGATTAGCAGGAATTTAAAAATTTTCCAGGTTGTTGATATATGCCCTAAACCTGGGTGTCCCTAACCTTAGCGGTTGTTAATCTGTGCCCTAAACCACGTAGGGGTAATAGAAATCCGTTTTTATAAGATAAGCGCCAGGAGTCACCTAGAACAGCTATCTTGGGGAGAGAGCGCAGACTGGCCTCCCATAAGGTAATGTGACAAACTTAAACAGTATTTTTTTTCATGTTTTAGGTGGTAAATTAGAGTAGTTGTGTACTATTTATCATTAGTTAGGTAGGTTTTGTTCTTGTTTGAGAACCGATTTCGTGTTTTTGGGGTATGATATTGGAGTATTTTTGTCATTGGGTAACTAAACCTTATTTTTCTCATATTTTCTTTTATTTGTGATATGTAAATTCACCTAACGAGTGTATTTTTTTAACCTAACCCATTCGTATCTCGAGGATACCTCTACATGTTTTTGTATTTTTTGTGTATTATTTGATCATTATTTTTCACTAGTCTTTTGACTTGAGCCTTGTTTTCTTACTTAGTATTTACAAGTTAAAGGTTTTGCAATCACTGTACTACACACACACACACACACACACACACACACACACACACACACACACACACACACACACACACACACACACACACACACACACACTACTACTACTACTACTACTACTTTGCTGTCACTGTGAATCGAATATGAGGATCATCCAGCTATGATAAAATGATATGAGTTATTAAGGATGTCACCTTCGTTGGTGAGCTCTGAGGTGACTAGAGAGGCCGATACGGGACTGGCAGGGTCGTTCACAGATATTGAACATGTGGAGGGCGACATCTAGTGTGAGAGGGGCGGCGGCAGCATCTTTCTGGCCTCGGTTTACAGTCGGGCTAACTCAAAAGTACTTACACCTTCTATTGTGGTGCTCCTCCAAGCGTTACAGTGTGGAGTAATTGTCTCCCACGTGATAGGGTCAATTTGGCACTTTTTCAGGTATGTCTTAAGACTATCCTTATACCTTTTCAGTTGCCTGCCAGCGTTACGTTTACTATTCGTTAGGTGACGGTAAAGTAGCAGCTTTGGCAGTCTACTGTCGATCATGCGGGTAAAATAGCCTCAATGCTCCTACAGTTGGTGTCGGTGAGAATACTGTAAGTCCTTGTATAACATCGGCCTGCTTAACGTTGTTTCGGTACTACTTTGCTAATCTTTAGATACCAAAAATTCGTTTAACATCCTGATGACTCGGTACAACGTCGTCACGGACCACTTTTTATGGCGCATCACCCTCTCTCGTCTGGCCGCTCTACGCTCTTGGCTCGGCGTAGAGTCTCAGTGACTCACCACCCTCCTCCTTTAAATTAAAACATTGTCCTTAATTGTGGGTGTCACTTTAAATCAATAATCTTAAATTGAATCGCTTTAAATCGACGTTCTACTTTACCAATACAAACTTAGTACAGTAGTTGTATATGTAGGCACTATTTTCTATAGAAATGGCAATGATATTCTGTATAAGGCAAAGGGAGGCTCAGGAACCTAACTCTCGTATTTTATCTATTTATTATGAGGAAAATTGATCCGTTTAACGTTGTTTCGCATAACGTCACATTTTTAGGAACGTAACCCCAGCGTTAAGCGAGGACTTACTGTACTGGCATTTTGTTCTCTTGTCTTCCCAGCAAACTCGGAGGATGGAACATAGACTACTTTGTTGAAAGTTTTCAAGTGCCTTCAGGTGCCTCCTGTATGTAACCCATGTCTTGCTGCCATATAGCAGGGTGGGGGAGGAAC